CAAAATGTTGTATTATGCAGTCTTTTTTAAAAGTTGGATAAAGTAATTCCTTCAAAATCTTGTATTATGCATTCTTTTTAAAAGTTGGATAAAGTAATTCCTTCAAAATGTTGTATTATGCATTCTTTTTAAAAGTTGGATAAAGTAATTTCTTCAAAATGTTGTATTATGCAGACATTTTTAAAAGTTGGATAAAGTAATTTCTTCAAAATGTTGTATTATGCATTCTTTTTAAAAGTTGGATAAAGTAATTCCTTCAAAATATTGTATTATGTAGTCCTTTTTAAAAGTAGGATAAAGTAATTCCTTCAAAATGTTGTATTATGCAGACCTCTTTAAAAGTTGGAAAAAATACTTTGTGCAATGTGCAGGCCTCTAACTCCATCGCCATGGGTATCCTTTACTGAGCATGACACAAGGTTTTAGTGTCTTACATTCAAAATTTTATTAAACTACTTTTTGTTTATATTATACCATAAAATCTTAGCTAATAATCCATATTTCAAAAGGAAACATAAGAGAGAACTATTAACAAATTCTGAAAGAGAGGATGTGACAGGTGGGTGTGGCAAGAGGGGTCTGATTTACTGTTTGATAGCTCTGTAATCAAACAAAATTGAAGACTATAAAAATTATAGCTAGTCTGAGCAATAACGATTTTATAAAGAGTAATTTAAGTTTAATTTCATACTTTTTCGAGGGGTGGTGGATAAAATAGGGAAGATGACATGCTAAAAGAAAATGAGTCACATGGGATACACAAGAAGAAATTCAGGAAATTTTTTAAATATTTACTTGTAGAATTAAGAACTTAAACTTGTATACATTATATATTACCTATAACCAATAGAAAGTCAAGGTTTTCATCTATCAAATAAAGTATTGTATAATATAGTATTCTGAACAGAATATCATCAATTTCACTCATGGTACAAGATTCGTTCACATGGGAAAGTTAACGGCTAGCTTGGATGAATTTGTAACAGCTCTTGTTGCATAGTTAGAAAGCCAGGAAAATTTTGAGAGGTGAGTGAATTTGTCTACTTTTTGCATGTTTTAAGTTTATATTCTTTGGTGCATTATTTAATGAAAAAAAATTATTAAGTGCATTACTATCTATAGTATAAAAAATTAGGGTTAACTCTTTTCAAAACCCAACAGCAAGAAAAAACAAGATTGGGTAAGTACTTTATTGTTGTTTTTCATATTTATTCTTTATTTATTATTATAAAAGTACCTAAGATCTAAAAATATGGATCTTTTTAAGTTATTTAAGACTAGATTAGGTAAAATAAGTAATAATAATATAATTAAAATGGTTCACAAGACACGCACACGAGCAGCTCGTGGGTAATGTAATTCAATAGCATAACTTATAATGGAGCGGACAGTAGTTAGACACGGTTCAAAGGACAATAAAACAATAAAATTTAATTATAAATAGATGTATACTATTACAAACTTAGAGCTAGTTGGGATAAACAAATGTAGTTTCATGTTATAATGTGAAGTCATTTGAGAAAGAAAAAAGGGTAATTTAGGTTTATTTTGATTTTTTTGGTGGTGGTTACGAGGTTGGTCAAATTGACCAATCCTGATTTGATATAGGGTAGAGAAGATAACAGATAAACTATAAAGTTTTACTGAAAAAAAACGTTTGAAATGCATTTAGGAGGTTTTAGGAATTATACAAAGGAAATTTGAGATTTTAGGGATGAGGAAAAGTATTTTTAGTTTTAAGGTAAAAATTACTTTACACACAGACTATTCAAAACAAATACTCAATATATTAATGGACAAATCTTTATTTTAGTTTATTAAAAATAGTTCACTAAAACTATGTTTTTTTCTATGTGAAAGACTTATAATATTAACC